CATGATTCCGGCCCAAAACATGACTCCACCATCGCCTTGCTGATGTCGCAGCCTTGTTGGAACAGGGTGACCGTCCACCAACCATCCACTACTCTATCCATCTGGACCATCCAGGGTTGCACGGCACTCATCAGTGAACAGGACTGTTTGAAAATTAGTCTTCACGTATTTTTCTGCCCAATGCAGCCATTTCTGCTTGTGAGCATTGGTTAGCGGTGGCCGAATAAAAGGTTTATGCACAGACTCTGGAGGACTGTACACCTTGATGTCCATGGGAGTCCAGAGGCATCAGCAGCTTCAAATATCTGTTTGCTGCTATGTAATGGTATTTTAGCAGCTGCTCTCTTGATCCGATGCATGGATCTGGCAGAAATCTTCCTCAATGTGCCTTTATCTGCACAAACCCGTCTGTGCTCTGAATCAGCCTCAAATCTCTTAATAGTGCGATGATCACGCTTAAGTTTTCGTGAAATATCTAATGTTTTCATACCTCGTCCAAGGCATTGAACTATTTCACTCTTTTCGGCAGCAGAGAGATCCTTTTTCTTCCCCATTGCTTGAAAATGGTGCTCTACTTACTAATGTGGAACACCCTCCTTTAGTAGTTTTTCCTTAAATTGGGCTCACCTGCCAATCTAATTATCACAGTTGTCCGAGATTGTTTTCAGTGATCAAAAGAGCCCTGACACACAATGCCATCCATGAGTTAAACTGAAAAACAAAATATTTAATCTTTGTGACACTAAAATAGAATTTGCATAATAATTTGGAACACAGTGTAGAAGGCCAATGCTGAGGACAAGTTAGTAAGACAATAAGTAAAGGAAAATCACAGATCCTTTCCGGACTAAAAATGTAAAACAATCTTTAACTTAGCTGTTCCTTGAAGGATTCCACTACCAGAGTCCAGCTAGGCCTAGCAGTCTGATTTCGAGGTTAGAGTACCCCTTTACATGTAAAGCTGTTAAATACTCCAGGAACAAGAAATAAAACAGCACTGTTCATTAAGGTAAAGTAATCTGGCAGCAAAGTGCACTATATAAAGAACAAATGAGACTTGGATAGAAAATGATCAAAAATAGAAGCTAAATTGGTGTACTTATTAGCCACTTGGAAGCCCATTAACATTAAGGCTTTTTATCTATATGTACATATATGGGAGTAATTTGCTATAATAAGAAAAGGAAGAGGAGGAAATGGTGGCATACATGTGGCAAGCTACAGAAACGCCACTCATCTCATTCAAACTTGAAAGTAACTAGAATGGTGTTTTTTAAAGTAAGATTATATCAAAATGCATAGAATGATATCTTACCCACTTTAGTCAGCAAGTATTCTCCATATACGTAGTGGCAGGTTCCTCCTGCTACCAGTTAAGGCATCTCTGAAATCACATGTGTGTGTGTAAAGCAACTCAAGAAACCACTTATTGATCTACTAATGATATCCAGCAAACACTGCAACTGTGCTAAAACTGTAAAATTCACTGATGCAACCAAAGCACCATAAAGGTATTCACAGACAAGCAGATTTCTCCCTAAAAATAGTTGATAGAGAGAAATCTGTATGTTCTTGAGCAAAGCTGATGTGTCTGGACCAGTTGCTGATGTAGCACCCTCCTAGGGTAGAATGCTAGGTAAGTTTAGTTTTTATCTCCTTCTGTAATCAAGGGAGCAGGGATTGTTTTGTCTGGTCTGTTCAGGGTTTCACAGGCTTGGAGTCTGATTACTTTTCCTCTGTCTCTAGAAGACGTTTCTATAGCTTAGGGAGGGAGAATTCAAAAACTCCGGCTTGAATATTGATCAGGGCCTTGCCAGTCCCAGGGTAGGTGTGCCCAAATGGTGGTTGGGAAGCTGATAAATAGTCAGGAATCCTCGAGAGATTGTCTTTCCCCAGGATGGAAAGTTCCAAGCCAAAAGGGGCTGTTGCCCCAGAGGCAGCCTGTGGACTGTGTTTTGTGAGGTCTAAGCAGTGGCAGAGCTGGGGGACCATTAAGTGATCTGGAACTGACTGCAGAACTTCACCAAAGGGATCTGGTCTACAGAAGGACTGTCTCACTCACTGAACTGTGTCTGGAGGAGCCTGGAAAGTGGAAGCTGTCCTAGGGATTTGTGAATTGATTCCTGGAGACCGTGTGCTTTTGGGATATAAGTGCCAGATGTTGCTTGATCTGAGACTGCTCTTATGCGGTCTCAGATACTTGCCATTCCCCATCCTCAGCAGTGTCCTGGACTGTGAGTTTAGAGAAGAGTCCTGTACTGTTCAATGTTCCTCAGATTGCACTGGGCACCAATAGCTGTGCAGGTTATCTAGATGCCAAAGAGACTTGCCTGGTAGCCAGCTGTAAGGCCTTAGACTGTCCAACATTCACAGTTGCTTAAGAAGAAGACTCCTCCAACTACTAAGTACTAAATGTTTTGGAGTACCCCATGCCCCGGGTAGAAGGGGGGTGCTGGGAATGAAGTTGGTGGGAGAGGGATGCTGTGAGGAGGTGGTGAGGTGGGTGGTGGTGAGGAGCTGTCGGAGAATGACCCTGCGACTGGAAAGGAGGATAAGGATGAGGAAGAATTCAAATATAAGATTCTGAAGGTGGTTATTGCTCTTCTTGAGCAGAGTAGATATAAACCAGTGTAGCGCCCCTCTAGATAGCCATGGGAAGCTAGTGTTCAGTTTTTAGTTAGAAGGGCTGAGTAGCACCAGCAAAAGCAGTGCATGTACTACTTTAGAAATTGGTGCGGCTCCAACCAAGTCAGAACCGCAGTGATATGACAGCTCTAATTGTGGACAATAGGGTGTGACTTGCCATGTGATTTGCAAATCGTATGCCAATTCACATCCAGTGTGACCGGGAACTTATGCCGGCCATACATGGGTCGAAATTCGACCGATTTTTTTGGCCCAAAATCGGACCTAAGAATAATCGGCCAATTTTCGCTCTGTTAGTGGGTCAATGGCACCAGCCGATTTTTATGGTTCCTCCCCTTTTCGGTGACCGGGCATATTGGAAAATTTGTGCAAAACGACCGATTTTTCGACTCAAGGATGGTCAAATCGTACAAACGTTTTTTCCGAAAAGAATATTCGCATGAGCCGTGACCTGGAAGAAACAAGTTTCGTGTGTTATATGGAGTAAACTTTATGACTTGGTTGGCCGATTTTCAAAATTATTGATGGCACCATCGGATTACCAAGCTAACGACGTTTTAGATTTTCAGATGAAAAATCGTTTGTAATTCGACCCATGTATGGCCTGCAGTAGGGTGTCTCCACTCTGGATGGAGTTGCAACTGAGACAACCTAGGACAGCAGCATTGTCAGTCTGTAAAGAGGGAAATGTTAGACTAGCAGATATAGATGGACCTGACTAACAAGCAGTTTAAGCAGTTTTTCGGGGATAAAGGTTTTACATAAATAAATAAAAGCTGATCGTTGTAAGCACCCGATCAATGTTTATGGTTAGTTTCAACCCTCTAACTGCCAATTTTCCCACAGTGCTAGATCTGTTAAAAGAAGGTTTAAAACAACAGCTTTACTGTCTGATCCCCAAGTGAAAAGTAAAGGAAAAAAGCCTAAAAAAGAAAATGAATGCAGCCACCACATCTAAGAATTGATAAGCTGCATAATAATATTCTTTTAGGGGGGTTAATACTGTTTTAATATTTATGATATTAATCTGTATGGCGTTAATGCTGAATAACAGTGCAAAATATAATAGGATATAAAGTAAATGAATGCAGCCACCACATCTAAGAATTGATCAACTGCAATTTATCTTTATTTGGAGGAGAGGGTTAATACTGCTTTAATATTTATGACATTATCCTGTATGTCGCCGATGCTTAGTAACAATGCATAACATAATAAGATATCACGTACACGAGGTGTAATGTATACAATATTCATATCCATGGATAGTTCCTAATAAACACAATTACACAGGCTGATCTTGTTAATACAGAAGATAATCATCCACAGGAAGCAATGATTGGGAGGGTTATTACATGGAAGCAGTGACACCATGTGGTAGTTTTTAAAATGGCAACTGAATTCTAATGACCTGAATATAATACTGTATACTCTGCAAGGGGGTATATAGAGTGCTGGGGATTGTACAGCACCCAAGCATGGAATCCCCCTGTATCTGCCATGTGCAGGGGTGGACTGACCATTTGGAAACTCGGACACTGCCGAGGGCCTGGGGTCAGTAGGGGGCCCCATGAGATGCTCCTGGTACCTTTTTCATAGGCTTTTTTGAGTTTGGGCAAGGGCACAGGGGCCCCATGATCCCCTATTGCCCGGGGGCCCATGATTTGTCAGTCCGCCCCTGGCCATGTGCTCACATTCTGTACATAGTAATGTCGATCGTGATATAAGGCCTATTATGAATTCCACAATGACTATTTTGTTATTATGTAAATATCTTTACTAACACTTTGGGCAATTTCTTCACCATAAAAATATCTCGCTTAACCTCCCTAGCGGTCTGATTATGTCAGTATTTCTGTGCTCAAAGCGGTAAATTTTTTTGCATGGAAATATGTATTTTTTTTACTGTAGGCCTGTAATTCTTAGGAATAACTCACTGAAATCTGTCCAAACAAGAGTCTAGTAAACATCCCGAGTATGATAAAACTTGAAACACGAAATCATAAATTATAATTTAATAAATAATCATAAAAAATAATAATATAATAATAATAAATTTAATAAAAAAATATAATCAAACCAAAAACACTAAAATTTGCAATAGAGCGCCAAGTTCGCACATCACTGAGCAAAGTCGCAAAATCGTTTTCAGTGTCTGATGACGAATTTCCCCAAAATCATTATCACTCAATTCTGCAAGTGGTTCTGATTTACTATCGCTGTTCTCTAAACTGGTTGTAAACTGCTTTTGACCTAAAGGGACGTTTTTTGAACGCCATGGACGTTTCTCAGTTTCCAGGCAGAACGTACAGTACAAATGCAGGCAGGGCACAGGACAAAGCACTAGGGACAAAATGTATGTGAAATGGTTTGATACAGGAATGTTTTACTATGTGATTTTAGTGATTTTAGTGAATGTCACTTTTTGTCATTTTCAAATTTCCCGCCGTTCCGTCCCCCGTACGTCCTGACGTCGCAGAGGACAGAACCCAGATGACAGATGCCGGCATCCGCTGGAGGACATTGCCGGGGACACTGCAGGGGGGACATGGCGGGACCGCAGGACAAGGTAAGTGATCGAGGGATCGCGGAGAAGCGCCGCATGGAAAGCCCGAGTGTAGTTGGGGGTTACCGCTTGTGGTATTGAAACTTTACCCCAAGCTACACTCAGGAATACCGCCAGGGAGGTTAAAGTGGTTATAAAGGAAAGTTTGGGTGTTTTTTGTTTTTTGTTTTTTTTTTTAGTCTTAATGCATTCTCTGAATCAAAGTAAAAAAAAACTTTCAATAGCTGCTTCCCCTGCCCCTCAAAAAACATTTAACTGAGCCTGATCTCGATCAGCAGCTCTTCTCCCCTCTCTCTCTTGCCACAGCAGCTGGCGATATTGGCTCCTGCTGTTATCAGTCAAATCCAGTGGGGAGGGAGCGGGGCAGAGCTGTGCTTTGTGTGTCAATAGATGCACACAGTCCAGTGGAGGATCCAGCCCACATGTGTGCCACCATAGGAAATGGATTGCTATGGTGGGACGCGGAAAAGAGGAGGCGCCATGATTGTTGGTTAGGGACCCGAGAAGAGGAAGATCAGGGCCACTCTGTGCAAAACCCTTACACAGAGCAGGTAAAGTTAACATGTTTATTATTTTAATACAAAAAAATTAAGCTTTACAACCCCTTTAAGGTAAATATAATTCCTAACAATTTCTTGTATTTGCTTTCTTTTGGTGTGTTAAAGTATGTGTACACCCTCAACATTATTACTAGTTTTTTCCCCTTTTTAGTGATCACATTCCCTCTGTTCTCAGCTGCATAAGAGCAGGGGGAGGAGAAACGTCCCTAACTTACATTCATACATACACATACTAGGGACAATTTAGACAGGAGCCAAGTAACCTAACAGCATGTCTTTGGAGTGTGGGAGGAAACTGAAGTACACGGAGGAAACCCATGCAAGGGAGAACATGCAAACTCCAGGCAGGTGGTGCCATGGTTGGGATTTGAACCAACGACCCTAGTACTACCAGGTGGAAACGCTAACCATTTAGCCACTGTGCCGCCGTCACCCAGTTTGTATGCAGCCATAGCACGGACTGATGTTGCATTCAGAGGGGTCGTTTAGCAGCTTCTGAAAGCAGTAGCCTATCTGCCCTCATATGCTTCTCTGAATGAGACAATCTGGTCAATGACCAGAGAGAAGACACTTTGACTTCTAGAATTAATTATGTGCAGTCAGCTAGCCATCTTAAGCTATACGAAGTCCGTTTTTCTCTGAAGAAGTGGCCAGACCTGGCCCTTGGGGCACCATTCCTCCCACTAACACCAATGATGGAGCACTTTTGCTTCCACTGACACCAACAATGGGGAACTATTCCTTCCACAAACACAAATGATGGGGCTGTATTCCTCCCATTGACATGAATGATGGGGCACAATCCTCCCACTGATACCAACAATTGACAATATTCCTCCCACCAATACCAATGATGGGGCACTATTCCTCCTCCCACTGATGCCAGGGCATTTTCTACTCCCACTGGCCACAGTCTGGCCCCCCTAGAGTCTGAATGACAGTAATTTGGCCCTTTGTTTAGAAAGTTTGGAGACCCCTGCTCTAAAGGGACAGATTTCTATTTCTATAGATGTAATCAGTGACTTTTTGTAACTTGGGACAGCTATTTAAAAGCAAGGACTACCACTGAAAATCAAAGAGCTTAGGTGACTCGGATAAAGCACTTGCCTATGCATTTATTTGTGTAGCGCCCTCCAGGTTAGTTAGATAGAATTTTTTTTTAGATAGAGGCTGGGTAGCGGCCTGGGATGAGTCAGCCTTGGAGTGAGGTAGTGAGTTTATCTCTGGACAGGCTGAGAGGTTCTAAAGGTCAGGGCATCTGCAGCTCTCCCACCTTTCCAGAAACTAGAGAACTTTCTGGAATGGGAGGTGGGAAGGGAGGAGGCCCAGATTTGCATGTTTGAGGGACTGCAGCCAATCTGCTGGCAGGATGCTGGGCATGGTGACCAGGGCAACCTTCAAATATGACAGAGCGTGGGAAGAGAAGGTAGTTGGGTGGAAGATGGATTGACAGAAGGTTGGAGAGTGCAGCCTGGGAGGGGGCCCCAGGTAGGTGAGCCTACCTAGAGGCTGGTTGCTGGCCGGGAGGAGCTCCACTGCCCAAAGTTTCCTGGGGGATATCCTGAGCAGAAGGGAAGGAACTAGCCCAGTGAAGGCCTAAAAGCAGCTACCAAACCATTATGCTGACAGGAAAAGACAGTGTGAGTACTCCTACACTCCCTGGGCCAGATAAGGGGAGAGGGTGGTCAGGTTTATTACTCAACTAATCTTCATTGGGACTGCTTAATTGCAAGATCTTGGGACCCCCTTGCTCAGGGATACCCTCAGCACAGCTGGGTGAAGAAGAGGGTCTGAGGAGGTACATCAAAAAGGACAATGCTACATTTTTGTTAGTTTACATTTTATGTACATAGTTGCTAAGAAGTTGTCCTTGAGTTCTACAGTTCCTTGGGCATCCCATATAGCCCTAGACCCCATCCAGGTTGTTAACCCCTTAATCAAAACAACTAAAACCCAGCTCAAGGACTGTTTTACTGACTCTGGGCATGTGGAGAAGTGAAGAAAATGTGTGTTACCTGGCTGTGCTTGGTGTAGGGGGACCCAAACCTAGTCACTCCTACGGTGCTAGATTTGCAATGTCTTAGTCTGACCAAAAAAACTCTGTAGGTCTTTAAAGTGTTATGCAACTCCCCACCCCCCATGTTTTTTTTTCTTTTATCTGTATTCCTGGGTCCTCTTCAAAACATATACTCACCTGCACAGTGAATCCAGCGTTGTCCCGTTGCACTCAGGTGTTCGGGTGCCATTCAGTACAGTGCATTTTTTGAAGGATCGCAAGGCAGAGAACTGACCCTTAGGGCTCGTTCACACTTGACTTTATTTCTAACTCTTGCCAAACGCCCCTATAGCATTTGAAAAGCGTTATACAGGCGTTTGTGAAGCGTTTTTGACGCTCCTCAAATGCTCCCAAAACGCCCTATGTGCGGTTTTGAGGCTGTTGATAGGCATTTGGTAAGCATTAAAAACCGCACCACAGACTCCTATAATGAAGTTTAAATGGTATTAACGCTCCGCAAACACCTCACAACCGCATTGCAAATGCCTGCCAGGCATTTGCGGAGCGGCACCATAGACTTGAATGGGAGGCTTCAACTCCTCCTGACTCGACCCGAGGCGTCAGTTTTGCCGCTACGCAACACTAACGTTTCCGTGTGAACGGCACTGTGTGCTGCCATGTGCATAATTTTCAGAGGCATTTGAGAAGCGTTAAAAACACTTTCCAAAGGCCTGTCTGACGCCTGCTGACAAAGCTAGTGTGAACATAGCTTTACTGCTTAATTTTAGGTGGAGCTGTATTTAAAGCGTGTTATACCTGGAGTGCTGTTGCTAATGCATGAGGGAAAATGACATCAGGGTATAATTAAAACAGCAGTGCAGCAAGTAATAATGTGAAAAATGTAGAGACCTCAGCGATCTGTTTGTTGTAGTAAACCTAGTCAAATATGTTGGTTGCAATTTGCTTGTTTCGATTGAAATGATTGATTTGAATAAACCTGACAAAGCATTTTTCAATAATAATAACTATTATTTATATTTAATATGTCCAAATTTCTTGTCACTTTGGAGACTTTGTTTGGGCTCACTATGTGCTCCCAGCACAGAGACTAAGCTATCATAGACAGCTCTCGGTCAGTGGGAGTAGCTCCAGATCATTTGACCAATGTGACAGCCAATCACAGTGGTCACATGATCACTTATCCTTCCTGCCCCCCAGGCATTCAGAATAATTTAAAAGGATGAAAAGGGGTTAAAAAGCCTTGAGCAGTGTAGAAGCACAGAAAGAAATTCAGAAGTGATCCTTCATTGTTCTAACTGTTGTGAACTGATTGATCCTTGGAAACAAATCAGGTTTTATTTGGCCTCATTTGACTTCAGTAACCCGCATTACCTTATTATATATACAGCTCAATAAAGGGGCCCCAAAAGAGGCATTACAGCGTTCACTACCAGGGGACGGTTGTAATGTAAACTTCCACTAGAGCTATCAATAGTTACAGCACTTGGCAGTCAACGAGCAAAACAAGTTTGGTATGCTACACAGATTATGTGACAAAGTTATGTAGCAAACAAGATCTATCTGAACTTAGTGACACCTTCCTGAGTGTAATACAGCAACAAGTTAAAGGGGAAGTAAGCAGATGGGTAATGCTTGCCACAAGCTTGAGTGTTCATGGCTACACATAGCAGCAGTCTTTCGGCATTACGGCACAAGACCTCGAGCAGTGGAGGTTATAGCAAGCAGTGTAAATACCTAAATGTGATTTGGTATCAGTCTTTTGCAGTCTCTATACAGCAGAGCTCAGACTAGGGAAGGGAGATGCGGCACAGGGAGCCAATCCTTTGTGCTGCAATGCAAGAAGTAGTCACCCTCGTCATTTACAGGGTTAGCTGTCATTCAGCATCTCTGATCAGTTCTATCGTATCAAGTTCTTACACAATTTAGCCTGCTTTCTGGGACCACATGGAAACTTGGTATCTCACCAATAAATGGTGGAGCTTAATTGGCTCAAGAAGCAGTTTTAGGTGTCCTTTTATGAAACTGAGATCAGCGGTGATCCTAAGGATCGTTGCTGATCTCCAATCATTAGTGGTTTAGGAAACAGATGATCAGTGAAGAACATGTTCTCCGCTGATCATTTCAACACACAGATGGCCAGTATATGAAGGAGCGATGTCAGCCCTTCACTGGTGATCTGTGTTCTCCCTCCAGATTCTCCAGCCCAGAGGTGGAGAATCATGGGAACCGCAAACGAAGCAACGATAATTTACCACTGCTTGGTAAACTGTGTATTTGACTGATCTCTGACTGTAATCTCCCTAGATTACAGTAACAGCAGCCATGTTCTAGCGCTCAAAGCATTTGTAGATCACTTCTCTCTCATTAGGAGAAGTGATCTACACCGCTTCATGAACAGGCATTCAGAGGAGAACTGTCTCCACTGAGAATGCCAGAGAATTGAGCAGCGGTCATTTACCTCTGCATGATAAAAGGACACCAGAATAGCTATCCAAAAGAAAATACAACCCATGTATGAGAATTCTGTTAAACCTGATGGGATAATATGTTGATGCTTGGCATCTCTGTTGAACTGGGCTCATGGGCCATTATATGGAGATTCTAGTAAAGCGGTAGTAAACCT